CTGTAGTGTTACTGTATACTGTAGTGTTACTGTAGTGTTACTGTAGTGTTACTGTATACTGTAGTGTTACTGTAGTGTTACTGTAGTGTTATTGTATACTGTAGTGTTGTATACTGTAGTGTTACTGTATACTGTAGTGTTCTTGTATACTGTAGTGTTACTGTATACTGTAGTGTTCTTGTATACTGTAGTGTTACTGTAGTGTTATTGTATACTGTAGTGTTGTATACTGTAGTGTTACTGTAGTGTTATTGTATACTGTAGTGTTGTATACTGTAGTGTTACTGTATACTGTAGTGTTAATGTATACTGTAGTGTTATGTAAGTTGTATGTATACTGTAGTGTTATTGTATACTGTAGTGTTACTGTAGTGTTATTGTATACTGTAGTGTTATTGTATACTGTAGTGTTACTGTAGTGTTACTGTAGTGTTAATTGTATACTGTGTAGTGTTACTGTAGTGTTTTGTATACTGTAGTGTTACTGTAGTGTTATTGTATACTGTAGTGTTATTGTATACTGTAGTGTTATTGTATACTGTAGTGTTACTGTAGTGTTATTGTATACTGTAGTGTTACTGTAGTGTTATTGTATACTGTAGTGTTATTGTATACTGTAGTGTTACTGTAGTGTTTTGTTTATTGTTACTGTAGTGTTTACTGTAGTGTTATGTATACTGTAGTGTTACTGTATACTGTAGTGTTACTGTATACTGTAGTGTTACTGTAGTGTTACTGTATACTGTAGTGTTCTTGTATACTGTAGTGTTACTGTATACTGTAGTGTTACTGTATACTGTAGTGTTACTGTATACTGTAGTGTTACTGTAGTGTTACTGTATACTGTAGTGTTACTGTATACTGTAGTGTTACTGTATACTGTAGCGTTACTGTAGTGTTATTGTATACTGTAGTGTTATTGTATACTGTAGTGTTGTATACTGTAGTGTTACTGTATACTGTAGTGTTACTGTATACTGTAGTGTTACTGTAGTGTTATTGTATACTGTAGTGTTATTGTATACTGTAGTGTTGTATACTGTAGTGTTAATGTATACTGTAGTGTTACTGTAGTGTTATTGTATACTGTAGTGTTACTGTAGTGTTATTGTATACTGTAGTGTTACTGTAGTGTTATTGTATACTGTAGCTTTTGTATACTGTAGTGTTACTGTATACTGTAGTGTTATTGTATACTGTAGTGTTACTGTAGTGTTATTGTATACTGTAGTGTTGATTGATCTGTTACTGATTTGTATACTGTAGTGTTCCTGTATACTGTATGTGTTACTTGTCGAGTTGAACTGTAAACTGTAAGTGTAAACTGTACGTGTTATTGTCAAATCGCGGGTGTGTTTCGGTAGTGTTTATTGTATACTGTAGTGTTGTATACCTGTAGTGTTAATGTTACTGTATTGTTTACTGTAGTGTTGATTGTATACTGTAGTGTTTATCTGTAGGTTGATGTATACTGAGTGTTACTCGTATAACTGTAGCGTTAACTGTAGTGTTATTGTAGACTGTAGTGTTATTGTATACTTTAGTGTTTTATGTATACTGTACGTTACGTAGTGTTATTGTATAATGTAGTGTTATTGTCTACTAAGTGTGCTTGTATACTGTAGGGTTATTGTATAATGTAGTGTTATTGTTACTGAAGTGGTTATTGTATACTGTAGTGTTTTAGTTTTTATAAAAACAATAACTGTAGTGTTTATTGAATAATGATAGTGTTATAGTATACTGTAGTGGTTTTGTATACTGAAAGTGGTAGTGTATACGGTAGTGTTATTGTATCCGTAGTATACAAAAATTCTGGCCACAAAATAGAGCGAAACACAAACGTCAAAGACCTGGGAGGAGCACTGTCGGAGGATCTCACCTTCAAAGGTCCATAACAATGTATCAATCGCAGCTGCTAGAAAAAAATGACAGGATGGATAATGAGAACCTTCAAAACTAGGAGGCCAAGCCCATGTGAACTCGTCAGGCACTTGTTCTATCTAGGCGAATCTTGCTGCACACTAACAGCCAACCTTTCAGGCAAGGTGAATTGCCGACCTAGAAAATGACAGAGAACTTTCAACGGCGCGCATAACGGAGAATAAACACCTCAATGATTGGGAGCGCTTAGGTTCCTAAACAGTATTTCCCTGGATCGCAGGAGGGAGAGATACATGATTAATACACCTGTAAAATCCTAGAAGGGACTGAGTAACGAACTTGCACACGAAAACCTCTCACTACAAAGCAAAAGACTGGCAACGATGCAAACATCCCCCCAATGAAGAAGCAGGGTGTCAACTACACGTTAAGAGACCATACAATAAGTGTCAAGGGGCCCGAGACTGTTCAACTGCCTCCCCGCACACATAAGGGATTAACCAACAACCCCGGCATCGTCAAGCTGGCACTGGACAAGCACCAAATCCAGTTCCTGAATCACCTGGCTGTGGGCTCGTACGTTGGTTTGCGTGCAGCCAGCAGCAACAAGCCTGGTTGATCAGGCTCTGATCCACCAGCGTCCTGGTCACAGACTCGGGCCGGGGGGCGTTGACCCCCGAAACTCTCTCTCTCCAGGTAAACGCCAGTACTGTAGTGTTCTTGGATACTGTAGTGTTTTCTTGTATACTGTAGTGTTCTGTGTATACTGTAGTGTTTCTTGTATACTGTAGTGTTTCTTGGTTACTGTGTGTTCTTGATACTGTGAGTGTTTGCTGTATACTGTATGGTTACTATATACTGTCATGTTGTTGTATACTGTAGGTGTTACTTTAGTGCTATTAGAATAC